CTGCAAACAGCCTTTTTGATGACCCAAGAAGTCAGTGTGCAATGGCAAAACCTTAAGCTGTCCTGACACACGAGTTGAACATGTCTTGTGAAGGAGTGAATTTCAGTGTAGAGTTTGGGTTTCTGTAGACACTTGTAGTGATGGTATTACTGCCATTTGCACCATTATCCTGGCCTTAAACATGACTGCACTTCCTTAACTTCAAGATGGGCTCAATGTCCTATTGTGTTGCTCTACTGAAAAGAACTTTGTAAAACTCTCTTCTTGAGACAAGAAGGAACCAACCTTACATCTTCTAGGGCCAGAAGAAGAACATTTTATTGCCAAAGTGAGTTCTTACAACAGTAATCTCTGGAAAGAATGGAAAAGGTAGATTGAAGGTGAGGGAGAGAAACCTAGCCTTTGCAGTTGTTCTGAAGTCATTCGGCTTCAAGCCCAAATGAACCTGATACATTGACTGCTAAAGAGTACAGGGAGGGAAAAGAAAGAGGGTGAGAATGGGTCAGGTCCACCTCTTCAAAAAGTGCTGATCAGAGGGTAAGATCAAAGAAATGCCCCGGAAAGAACATCATGGTTGTGTCACTAAAGCATCTTAAGAATTCATGCAGTCTAGTAAGGCCTGTGATGATGACAATGTACCAAGTGACTGCATTTTTAAAGACAATATGAAAAATACATCATAAAATTTCTTGGTTTTAAGAGTTGATGTAAAGAGTAGCCAAAGAGCAAAGCATTACCTTTAATTAGGAGATGAGGACTTCTTGAGTTTTAAGACCAGACAGTTCTGCAGTTCTGGTTCCTCAAAGAGGATGTTTTCAGCTGCCTGTCACATCTTTGTAAGCAGTTGACTTATTCGTAATGAGGCAGCCCAATGGCATAACTGATGCTATAAAATCTTTTTTGTGTCCACAGTATCAAGTTCTATGTAAAAGAAAGCTTCAGGATATCAACAGACAATTGCTCTATAAAACCCCTGTAGCCTTTTCAAGCAAAAGACAGTGCCCAAGAAGAGAGTAATGCTAAGCCAGTGAGACTTGATAATTTACAATATATATAATGATAAAGTGCTAGAGTGCTGGATGACTCATCTTTACAGTTGTAGACTGCAGGGCCACTGAACTTATGAATTCTATCCAGGGCTGCAATAGCAAAAAGAGATTTGGAAACTGGGTACATGAATAAAAGCAACTTCCATTGCTGAAGATGCGACACTGGACAAAACATTTTGAAGATATGTGTATTAGTAGGATTGAGTAGAAATTTGGTACTTCTGAAGTTGTGTGCCCACACTAGAATGGTTTTCATCCAGGTAGGCAGGGCATGATATACTGTGTTTCAAACTGATGCTGGATTTAGACTGAATGGTATGTGAAATGCATTAGCACACTCCTCTAATCAGGTAGGGCAGTCTCATGCTATGACGGGAAAAATAGTCCTGGCAAATAGGTTCTCAAGGAAAAGAAGGTAAAGGAAACTGGGGAGGTCTCTGTGACTGCTCCTACGAAATACACTGAAAATATTTTCAGAAAAAAATTGTGTTGTACTATACAAAACAGAGATTTGAACATAATTTTAAGAGCTGAAGGCAGTGCTCAACTAACTGCAAGATAAACTACATCAGATGTTTAAGAAGACCTGAAAACACTGGTTGTGCCCTAGATTTATAGTAAGTGCAAGGTGATCTGCAACAAGGTGGATGTAAACATACCTTGCAGATAATGGTAATGCTCTGGTTTTAAATGCTTGGATGTGTGCACTGTCCTTCCTAATCTACAGAACGTACGTGGCTCGACATCCAGTTTATAGCACCCACCACAGAACTCTGGCAGATGGCAGAACCTCACCAGAAGCCCACCTGCAGTACAATTAAGGCTGCACTCCTTTCCATTCTACAATGGCAATGGCCCAGGGGGAAGTGAAGAAAATGTAACTGATCTGCATGAACAGCAATGCAGTGCAACATTCACCCATCAGAGAAAAGTCATTCAGTGCCATCTCTTTAATGAGAGTGCTCTTTACTCTGAATCCAAGTGGTTTTGTCTGAACAGGGGAGATAAAGGACAGCTGGAAGCTCTTGGGGTCTTTCCGAACATTATGAAAAAAGTTGCATAAAAATTCCCAGGAATCATTAGATGGCTCTAAAGGAAGGTTTCTTGTAGATCATCAGAGAAGACCAGTTTCTTGTCTGCCCCACAAGATCTAGATAAAAATGCATCTAACAGGAAGGAAGGAAGTGTATTTATCTGCTTTTCTCTGTTTAAGATTTAGCCATAAGTCACAGGACCACACCCTGACTAGAACACAGGCCCCTGTACGAGTCACTCTGAGCCACAGAGGTGGCCAGTGTTGCTGTAGCAAAATGAGTGGCATAGGCAGTCATGTCTGACAGCAGTCCTGTTCTCCTAAAGTAATCTCATGTAAGTTTATTCTTAGCCTTGGCTGATATTAAGGGTTATACAGATCATAAGTCATTTTAATAGCATGCAGCAAATGACAGGGGACTAGAAATTATTGTCTCAGGGCTTGCAATTGAAAGCATCTTTCATCAGACTACTAAAATTACATGAAGTCATCTACTTTTCCTACTCTCCCAAGACTGTCTGCAGGAGGGTCAAAAATCACAGTCCATTTACAAAAGGTGGTGACAAAGTTTCCTGAGGAGCCTTCCAGTACTTTCTAAAACAGCTGTTTAGAAAGCATCTGAAGATACATGGAATTTCATGGAAATGTCACTACACTTTTGAGATGTAGTAAGACTCCATTAAAAAAATAAATGGTGGATTTTCTGAGCATCAGACATCAGTAGAAATAAACAAGTAGAAAAGTCCCTAAGTTATAAGCCACCCACTCAGATCTCACTTACTAATTAAATTTCTTTTCAGCTCTAGTTAATGTTTTTCTAAGGAATCAGTTGTTCAAACACAGCATGTTCATAAACTCTCAGCTCTTGGCTGATAGCTGCTAATACAGGAGGTACTGAAGAGTTAAACAATGTATTTTGCAAACTGGATTTTTAACTATCTCCCTAAACCTATTTCTAGAGTCTACGTTCAGCTTGGAACTTGCAGACCTGGTGTAACTAAGAAGCTTGTTGCTAATCGTAATTTAGTAATTCTATTTGCCTGGACTCTTGTAAGGAGTGTGAGCTTATTTTCAGGTTGGATAATTTTATCAGAGGGTGAGGCAGCAACGCAATGCACTATGTTGCCCAGTCCCTCTAAACCATTTTGTACATACTGTTAGTGGCTGGGCAAACTCACCATTTAGACCTAGAGGATTGGGTTTTCCAGTGGTCTAGAGGCCATTTGCACATTTTTTTCCTGACTTCCTGTGAGACTATGGGTCTTACTGAAATTACAGCTAGAAGTGTTAACAGCACCTTAAGAAAGCAAGATGAGCTGCCTCACGGCTTTTGTTAGCCATGTTTAATTAATTAATTAATTACTAATTAGAATGTAAGGCATGTTTAATTAATTAATGAAAACAGTGCATCATTAAACAATAAATTAATACGGGTCACTTGATAGGTCTGCAAACTAATTACAAATTAACAATCCTAGATAATCTCAAAATAAAGGAACATATGCCCAGGTTTTCACACGAGGGAAAATATTTTACCTCAATATTATCATCTAATACCATTTCAGAGTTGTAACACCGTGCCATTTCCTACACAGTGGTTGTATGCTGGCCTATGGTTAAGCGGATGGTTTGTCATGGGTGAAGAGATACAAGTGATGTGGAAACTTTATAAATATTGTCACCCACTCCAACTATTAGCCCAGCAGTCAACTAAATATTCAAAGTGAGGCTTCTGGTCTCCTAGAGGCGGTCCTTCCAGATAGGTGTGGATGCTTACAGCCAGAGCTGAGCTCGCCAAGGGCTAGCCGGACAGAGTCTGCAATGGACTCAATGGATTTAAGAAATGAAATAACGACCAGGAGGGAAGAGAACAGAATCTCGTCCTGTCAGAATCTCTTCTATGGGTGAAGAATCCCTGTCTTATAAATGGTTCATTGGGTACATCTCACCAATGCTCACTATGTTTAAAACCTAGTGGAAAGAATTATAAGTGGTGAGTAGGGCATCAGAATGGAAAACACAGAGTAATAAACCACCTGAAACCCTCCAAACTGCCAACATCATTCAGCAGTCTGTGCTACCCTGCGCTCTTTGTCACATGAAAAGAGTCTGGCAGAGGTCCAGCCACTCTACCCTTTCTATTCCCGAAAGGTTATTCTCACTAATGGCCATAAATGTAACATGAAGAAGACAAGCACAAGGGTGCGCAATGGGTTAACTGAGAGCAAAGGCTACAGAACTATCTTCATTGTTCAATGCACTTCCTCATCCCTTCCACTCTCAGGCTCCAACAACACAGAGAAACAAGCCATGGTTCAGTCTTCAAAGAAGAACATATGGAAACTCACTAGTCACTAGGGAAAGATCTTTCAGTGGCTACTAACATAGCTGCATAATGGAAATAAATGAATTTCCAGTCATAATGTTTACATTTCAATCAAAAGTGTTGCAAATTTTAAGTAAGCAAATACAGTTGTTCATTTAACACCACATATGTGATACAACATTGTTTTATATCATCATCATCCACTTAATAGTCAATAGGCAGGTCTGCAACATGAGATTTTTCAGGAATCCTACAGCAACACATACACACAAACACACACAAATCACATGTAGGAAATAGCCTGCATAAGGTAAGTAAGGTTAATGGCAAAAGCTTCTTTCTATGCAGAAGAAATTGAACATTAAAGCTGCAGCATTAGGAAAAAAAAGTTTAAAAACAAGAAATGAAGTCGTACAACAGATGAGAACTTAACAAAATTGGTGACCTTTCCACACAGATGAAGCCAGGTTAAAAAAAACAACAAACCAAAACAAAACCAAAGGGACCAAATGAGACCAAAAGAGAACCTCCCCCCCACACACATACAGACAAAAGTGAGAGCACAACAAAGGAAGTGGAAGAAAAGTGTTACCCATAAGTAGCCGCCGTTTCACCCGCTTGTCCACATCAGCTACTGACGTGGCATTGTACTCAGAACTCTCAATTGCAGCCTCATCCTTCTCTAAAACACAAGTAAGGGACAAACATGGAGCAGTTGGTTAATCACAAGCCCAATTTTCCACTGCCTAAGACAGTTTCTTGGCATGGCACAGCCAAAGCCAAGAAGCAAGGCATGAAAGCACTAAATCCCCGTTAGAGAGTTAATTCCCTTTGAGACCCCAGGATAAAATTAAAGGGTGTTTAGGTAAAGGAGGAAGAAAGAGGGGGAGGAGGAAGAATGGTCAACCATGAAGTAATTAAACCACATACAGGAAGCTAGATTCCTACTGGAGAACAAGACAGCGAACACAAGTGCCCCAGAGAGGTGTTAATGATAAAAATTAAAATTCAGGGATGCTAGTTAAACAAACTACAAAGACAAACTGTAAAGTGATTCAGGCTAACAGTGGCACCAGGATCTGAAGATGGCAGGCGGAAGACCGAGACAGAGAGAGAGAGCTAGAAGAGTCCGGTGATGGATGGGCACAGATGCACCATAGTCTCGTACACACTGACATGTTGTGAGGAGAAATCAAACAACAGCATGCAAATTAAACAAAAACAACAACAAAAATAAACAAACAACAAACCAACCAAACAAAAAAAGATCAATTTGGGCAGTGCTGGTTGCCTGCTTGTCTATGAAACACTACTAGCTAAACATTCAATGCTAGGAAAGATGTTGCAAGAACAGGGTTTAGTAATTTTATAAGCATGCAGTAAGCAAGATGATGTCAGCAAAGGTCATTTTACAAGGTAGTCTCTGATATCCTACATGTAAGAGTTTCATACAGCATAATGAGGACTTTAGTTTGGTTATGCTTCATTAGGAATACACAGAAACAGTCACAAGTGTGGGAAGAGATGATCAGTAAGTGAAATAAAAATAAAGATTTCTGATACTGGAGAGCAATGGAGAAGCAGCAGCTGAGTAAATAAAATGATTTATACGGAGAGGGAAATGCTTATTAGGAAAAAAACCAAAATGCAAGTGGGGACTTTCACATGCAGCAAACATAAAAAAATAAAATAAAAGGATAAGTCAAGCAAACGAAGACAAAATATGTTAGACAAAGGGTCAACAAGTATTTATCTGGCATTGCAGAAGTTTGCATTCTTGCAGTGATGCCTGGAATATATACACCACTGAAGACAGCAAACACTGGAATCACTGAAGTGAGGAGGAGGAGGAGGCTGGCAGGTTTTGTTTGTGGCAACACTACATGGTTGAGTGGTAACAAGAAGTTGTTTTGTTTTGTTTTTAACAAGTTCTAGATGGGATCAGGCTGCAATAGAGGCTTTTGTTTGAGGTTTTTTAGGTTTTTTTTCTCTGTAAATAATTAATGAACGTCAGTTATCAGACAAGACAGGCAATCAGGAACCATCACCAGAAAGCAGGAATAAAAATTAAAAAAATAAAAATAAAAATTTAGAAGTATTCTAAGAGAAAGAACTACTCAAGAGGGAAGAAAATCAGCACAGGCACTTACATCACAAGACCAAGGAATGTAACATGGAGTTGTATGTATTACATTACACAAACAGAAAAAAAAGTAAAAACAGGTGCAGTGTACACAGCTTTTAAAATAATTTTTACACACTGGACAAAATAAAACATCAATCCAAGGATATTAATGAACGCTAATAAATAAAAGATCAATTATCCATTCAATAAAACCGGCTCTCAAGGCCCTCGCTCTTGCAAATTCTCTGCATCTGGAACTGCCACAGGCTTTAGGGAGGGTTATTTAAACAGAGGGACTGTACGATGGAGCCCTCTGTGTTAATCAAAAGTACTAGCTGAGAGATCCTGTAAGCTGAGACATAGCTTGTGTATACAGCGAGGCAGAGTCCAGCACTGAACCTTGTTCAGCTCTACCCCTGCCAGCATAACCCTCACCCCACCACACAATTTGTGCAATCAAACCCATCAGAAGCGAGTGAGGCTCCGGGCAGCCACGGACTTTTATGCCGTGGATCTGACCAAGGGATCACTAAAGATAACTGACACATTTCCATGGGTTTCAAGTGCTCTGTCTTGCAGTATTGATAAAGGAGAGAAAAGATGATAAATATGTGTCCGTTCTTTTTGAACCTCAGGAAATTACTAGGAATTTGTAAGAATTTGAAATTAAACAAACAAAAAAGTCAAGATGACCACAATGCTAATGAAAACCATTACGGATTTTAGGTTCTGAGCTGTGAGTAAGAATTTCCAAATCTTAACTTGCAGTATGCAAAAATATCTTTTTTTATTAAAAAAAAAAAGCAGGGTGGAAAGAAATGGTGTTAAGCAAATAATATATTTCATAACTGTAAATGCTTGCATAGCATCCCCCAAGATGCTCCACCTCTTGAATGGCTTTTTCCTACTGATAACCTGAGTGAAAGCTTATTCACTACAACTGCTGTTAATTTTTAGAATCATAAAACATACAACAGGGAAGAAAGCACATCATGATGATTAATTTTCCCCGATAACAGCTTAGAAAAGAAGATCATTTTCCTCACCTTGCTTATGCAAGGAAGTCTTGACTCCTGAAAGTGAATGGAAGAGCTGAACTTTCATTCATAATTATGAAAGTTCTACACCTTTTTACTTCAAAAATTATTAGAGTTATGAAAAGAAATAAAAATTGCAGAGGAGTAACAAATGCATACTTCATTAACAAACATTTTGACAAAACACACACAAACGCTTCTCCCTCTGCATAGTGTGACTTTAGCTACTACGGCCAGGAACTGCTGTTATACACTTCTCTCAGCAATGGTGCTAAACGCCTGTGAGATACAAACACACACGCGCGCACGCACACACACACATACATATGTGCACATATATATTCTATGAAGAATACGAAATAAAATGCACTGCAGAGAGGTACTTACCAATGCAGGTTCGGCCATCCGAATGTAGGGCATACTTCTGATGACAACCACACACAGGACCAGTATCTGTGTCATCACAGGTGTGTTGGCAGCCTCCATTCCCATAGTTACAGGTTACTAGTTAAGCCCCAAATGAATGTGTATATATGTATATATAAATAAAATGACAATGAAACCAATTAGTCTTGAGGGCCTTTCAGAATACAGAAGAGCAGTAACAAACCAAGACATAAGGCAACATCACATTTGTATTTGCAGTTCTTTGCATTTCTTATTCTTTCTGACCCCCCTTATCTTAGCCACGCTCCTGTCTCATGCCCTACTCTCAATCCGTGCAGTGAACTAAAAAAGAGAAAAAAAAAAAAAGCAGCATGTGCTACTTTTTCCCCAGCCTATTTGCATTCATAATTTTAGTATGAGTGGTTCCATCTCTGCCTAAAAGCTACATGCTTCATATCCGTGATGTACATGGCATGAAGAAATGAGCAGTCTACTAATACAGACGCATATTTTCAAGTCTATAGACAGCATTTCTCTTTTCCTTCCCCTTCATTTTCTAAGTGGAGGAAGCAGACCAAACAGCAAGAATAGAACCATATAAGTCTTGAAATCTATTATTTCAAGTACTGGTTCTCCTAGAGTAGAAGATGTTTAAAAATAAAACAGGAAACTTGGGGGTTTTTTTCTTTCTTCTCTGAAACAACAAATACACAGCTGCTATGGCCCTGCAGTGCACTGGCCTCAACAAGAAAGGAAACATTGGAGATGTCACTTTCACTTCCAAGCATACAGTGCAAAATGGCTTTTAGCAATTAAAATGTCCTCCAGTGAAAAAATACTAAAAATACATTAAAGCAAACATTTTTCATGAGAGGTCGTTTTGAAGTTTACACGAATTAATAGGTCAGATTCAATTTCCTTTGTTACATGATGGATTTAATTTCTGACTATTAAGACAAACCAGTTTTTAAATACTAAGCGGGCTAGCGCCATTAACAATGCCTCTTGTTTGCCCCTGTTCCATTTAAACCTTTGCAGTTGCATAGCTTGATGCTGAATAACACAATTCTGATCCGACTGAATTCAGAATTCAGAATTCAATTTACTGTCTTTATATACAGGTAATTTGGACTAGGTTCTTTATTGGTATATACATACTGGCAGCTACAGGGGAAATCCAATATACCATTATTCAGTTATATCATACTCATCATTTCAGAGGACTTCAATGTTTTGAAATGTTACAGTAATTTAAATACTGACTACAGTAATTTAAATACTGCCTCCTACTAATCAGAAGGAACTTCCTCACATTGGTCTCAGCAGAATTTTCCGTCTAGATACAAGAGTTTATAAAAGAGCCAGAGTAGCAAACTGCAATATACAGTAAAACCCAGATAAGGGTTAGCAGGATTTTAAAATCACGTATCTAATCTAAACTGAGGTTCTATCTAATCCAATAGGGCTAAACTCATACAATTTCCCACTGACCTCAGTGACTCTGCTTTAGCGCTAGCTTCTTAAAATGGAGTAGACTGGAATTTTCAGTCACAGTGACTCTAACTGAAATATCCCACCTCTGGCCTGAGTGTCCCAGTGCTGAATAGTCATGCCACTCTCTGTAATCACTTAGGTATTTTACTTAAAATAGAACAATTCTAAGAAAAGCAACTGAGGGAGACCCACCACAGTATACCTAACAGAATTCCCATTAAAACCTCCTGCCAGCGTGGGAACCACAAGTTTACATCCACAGTCCCCGAAGTCTGGCAAAGATCACAACAGGAGTTGTCCATCTCCCAAGCGAGTACAGACCAGAGGCCACTACAGGTGCAAGCATCCTTGGTCCTTCACATTGTACACTCTGATTAAAATCCCTACGTTGTTCAGAGATAGCGAGGGAACAGACTCATGGCCTAGTGGTAAGAACCATCCCCAGGAAGAGGGCCCGCCTGGATTCCCACCTCTCCTCCCAGGAATATCGCTGTTTTATCCAATTGGAAAGAATGTCAGTGAGAAAGATGGAGAGCAGCCTGATCCACATTCCCTTATTGAAGCTTGACAGTTCGGGCAGTAGGCTGGAAAATGCGAATTGTGGGTTCAGTCCCACCAGACAGAGGAGGGAATTGAACTCACATACCAAGAGTCATAAGAATCCTAAAATTCCAAGGAATTACATTAAAAAAGCCCCCTAAGCAACAACCACCCTCAGGCATTCTTTCTCCTTCTCCAGTTTTAGAACACAGCTATTAACTTCTTCTTGTCAAAAAATACACGAAGCAAACCATTCTGCTTTGCATCAAGTGGAAGCAGCATTTCATTTCCTTCAATACACAATAACATTTTAGGTTTTATTTTTGATGCAAAACAAATTAAAATTTTACATCAATTCTCCATTCTTAAACCTCCCAGCTTTTCCATGCAGTCATGCTGAAAAAATCATTCCCTTGCTCAGCACAATGCCTGTCCTTATTCACCTCTCCTCTTTTTGCCCATTCTTTGATTTCCAGTCTTTGGGGGTTAGTATTTTTCTTGCGGCTCGCTCTCTCTGCCACATTATGTGTGCAGCAGTAACTTCCTGGTTAATCTGGAGGCAGATGAAATACTGGTTTGCAGCCTAGCTGAGAGCTAGAGGAACGGACGGAGGGTGTTTCAATCTGCTGGCTGCAGCCTGACTGCCAACGTGAGCTCTCTTCTGGCTGGCTGCGTCTGGGAGGTGAACAAGCAGGGGCAGTAAGTGGTACAGAAGGCAGCTGCCTGCGATATCCACAGCATTGGGCTCACACTGGCAGAGCTCATCCAGGATAAGGTAATTTCCATCTACCTATCCTCCCCTTCTTCTTGACCCCGTAAGCCTCTCGGACTACGTGGAGGTTCATTCAATGCTTCTATCCCTGTTGGACTGCAGTGCCATCAGAAATTAACTTAAACGTGTTGTTTATGCCAGATGTTTAAATACATTTCTAGCCAACAGTACTTTTATTGAGGATTTTAAAGTGCAATCAGCAACAACGTGTATATTTTGAACAACTTGACTGCAGTGGTTATTTTTGGCATTCCTTGCTGAAACCTCTGCTGGCAGAGATGAAAATATCTTAATGTGTTTTCCCTGATCCACATAATATGAGGGACTTTTCCTCACTATATTTGTCTATGAAAAATCGCACTAGGCTGATGGGGTTTATACTAAATCCTGCAGAATCACACACTTCTTTTATAGTTTCCCTGTATATAGAAGTTACTGGTTCCTATTCTACCCAGTCAATGAACACAGACATAGGTCAGTTCATTTTCCTGTCTCTTACAAATATTAGTAAATCACATTTTTGAAGGATTTGAATTTCTGTCTAGACTACAATTTATTTATTTATTTTAAGCAACTTGAGCCAAAATTCTGGAGCTTGACAGCTCTGCAGGTGAAATTGGTACAAAATCCCGTTGTAAAACATGTCATTTCAATTTCCTTCCAGCCTTAACTCTGTGGCAATGACACACTGAGAAGTTTCTCTTGCTTAGAGGAAGAAAACCAAAACTATTTAAAAGCAAAGGGACATCCAGATCTACTCCATTTTTGTCAGGAAGCATTAAAGCAAAATTAATGAGAAATCTCAAAGTGTTCTTTTAGAAATTATTTCTGATAAATTTGGACTCTACAGCTATGCAAAAGACTGTGTGATCATTCAGAGTCTGTGACATTAAAAAGGCAAACAAAAAGAGGCAAAATGGTAACTTCTGATAGACACAGATCACCTTCAAATATTATGAATCATGTTACAATAAAAGGGATGGAAAATAGTAAGTAATTTTTCTTTTTTTTTTTTTTTTTACCGAAGGAGAATATACACATATCTGTTAGAACTCAGATATACTTATCCCCACGTAGCGGATTTAAAACCAGAGTAACACCATTGCTTTTGGCACTGCTTCAGCATTCCTGTATGTCTTAAGTGCAATCAAGATGCTGGGCTCTTTCCCTTAGTGATACCCGATTGCCCTTAGAAATACCCTGTACAACTGGCTAAACCCAGCATCTCACAGGGGAGGCTTTGCTCGTGTTGGCTACAAACACGAGTAGAAACAGCACACAAGCCCTACAAAGATGCACACCACCTATGTGAGGTGTCTAATGCTGGCGGCCAAGTTACCAGTCTATTCTCCCAACAGTTTCTACTGTGAATGAAGAGCTATGGGGCATCCTGAGCCGAAGCCCTGACACTGATGCTTCAAACAGCCCTCAAACAAGACTGATGTTTTTTGCTGACTATAACGCTCAGGCTCTTGAACTGGCCAGCCACGTTTCAGGGCCTGCAAGCTGGCAGTGTGGCATCATCTCCCTAACTGTCCACCTGCCTGTGCTGTAAGCAGCAGCATCTGTTCAGTTTGGCTGGGCTGAGCTAAGCAGTCCTGAGACACTGCTTTGCACGTGGGCCAGTGCTTACATCCATAGAAATAGATGGGCTAGACTTGAAATGGCATCTTGATGGTGAAAGACAAGAAACAACTGTCTGGAAGAGGAATGACATCTTAAAGAACAAAAGGTATTTTAATGTACTTATTCCACTAAATAATGATATTGATGTTTCATGCTAAAACCCCCAGAAGAGAGAAAATACCAGAATTCAGCCTCACTCTACAGGCTAAATTCTGTTTTCAGTGCTTCTCTGAACTTTCATATAATCCTTTTTCTGGTCTCTTCCATCTGACATGGCCATGACAAGGAGTATTTGAAAACATATGGCCAATTATTAAACCTAGCACATAGTACCCACTAACCCCAAAAATCCCCTAAGACAACGATGTCCTGATCTCGTCTGCATGTGGATTGAAATATATACTATGGCTCAGATGCCACAGAATTTGCAATAAGCCAGAACTTTTGTTTTTGTAGCATGGCTTTCTGCGACCATTCAAACCAGCACATTGTAATTCCAGATGAATTAAAAATTGCACTGTTTTTTAACTAAATTGGCCATTCAATATATAATTTATATAAATATATGAGCATCTCTTTCTATGTGATAAAGCTGTGCATGCAACATTGCTTGCATTTTTTATTCTAGTATGGCCTTACATTTTTAACATTCTGGAGGTATTTGTACTGACAGCAAATAGCTGCATGAGAACATTGTCAGCAGGGGCTGAAAAGCTGCCACTTGGCATAAGTGGGATGGCATTTTATTGTAAACGTACTAGACAGTATTTTTAGCACTCAAAAACTACAAAATACCAGACTTCTGGTACGTAGAATTATTGCATCATGATAACCATCCTTAGTGACAAATGCAGAAAACAATCCTGTCTTATTCAGTGCACAGTGGAGCTGGGGAAAGTCAGATCTGTGGAAACAGCTGGAGAATCTTGTCTCATTTGCTGCAGAGTAGTAAATCAGAAAGGGACTGTCAAGAAAGGATGGTCTTGTTCAGACAGTGAATAGAGCTCTAAAAAAACTCTAATCTGCCCCTGCCATGGAATTCCTACTTAGGGCTTGGCAAGTCACTTGAATCACATCTATTACAAGTTACTAATATTATATTTCTTTCTCCATGGCATTTGCAACTACAGCTGGAGCCATTGGGAGCTTGGCTTTGATCGTACTAAAGTGCTATAAATGCTGAGCTGGGTTCTGGGTGTTTCCTGTTAATCACCTACCACTACTAAATGACTCTGACATGAACATCTCTATATTCATTTCCCATTTGTAAGATAGGCAAACCAGTACTTTTTAACTTGACAAGAATGTTCTGAAAATACATTACCAATGCCTACAAAGCACTTCGATATTACAGTAATGAGTATCATGGGAAAACCCATGAGGAAATTAAAAATTTTATGTTCACAATAGGGTTTAAAAACTGCGCAGCAGGGAAGGCATGACACTGAATTATGGAGAGGAAGCTATTGAACAAAAGCCTATTTAATGAGCACTGACCATCATGTACACTGAATGAACCAAGACACCAATAGCGACTGCCTTATTAGCATGCGATGATATGATCAGGTGATATGTCATCATGTAATTAGGATGTAATGACAATCTTGTAATGCATGCATAAAAAGCAGGGGGCCTCCCTCCAATTTTTTATGCTTTCTAACTTATTTTAACATCTACTTTTTCCTTTGAGGAACACATGTTTCATTACTAGTGGACTTGGGCCAATACATCTGAAAACTTCTCCCAGTATTCTGATTCAATTGCAGATAAAATGGCTGATAAAAATTCACTTAGTGAGGTACTGGTTTTCTGTCACTTGTTCACATAAAAAAACAGAGAAGCAAGCTCTGACAAACCCTGAAAGGCACAGTCTCCTGGAGGGACCATGATAAATCAGAATAATTGAGAGGGATACAGGGATATACTAGGGGTATATTGGACCCTACCAGTCCCTGGTATGCAGGGCTACAGACCCAGTCCAGGCTGACAAGGGGCAAGTGTCTCTTTTTCAGCTCTTCAACATAGCCGTACTTGGTACTTGCAAAGCTGCAGCTCAAGATTTAATTCAATTCCACTGAAATGGTTAGCTGTGAAAAAGTTTTCTTAAAAGTCAAGATTTGGTTTCAGAACTAGACCTTTATAAATAGCCTGCTGTAATCTCACAATTAGTGTCCCAGGCTATCTGGCTACAGCTTTATACTTCTTTGCTTTTGGAAGGGCTAGAAGTACAGTTATTTTAAATAAAATTCTGGAACATATTTGCAGAATGTGTTGTGGGTTTAGGGGTCGTGTACTCTGCAGCAAGCTCTGCAGCCTTGAAAAACTCAGCGTCCCTACTTAGAGGTCTGTCAGCAAAAGTTCATTATACTTCCAACTACAATTTGAACACCACAGGGCACAGAATAAATTCAAGTTTTTCACTCTACTAAACCTTGAGGCATTTAGAAATACTGTTCTAGAAAAGGCTCTTATCCTCCTCTTACCATCTCACTATGCAAAAGGATAATGTAATTCCCAAGGAATGTACAAATTTGTGGAAACAAATAATAAACAACATGAACATCCTCTCCCACTTTACCAATGTAGCTGATGTTGCACTGCAATTAACAACACACAGTGTTCACTTCTAATAAACATTGAGAATGAAAATTACCATAAAGGCAATTTTTCTCTGTGCTTTTGCCTTTGGCCCTGTGTAGCCTCTTAATACTGAGGAGCAATCAGGCTGTACAATATCCTGTGGCATTTCTTGATGATATTCAAAGGTGATTCTTTTGACTTCGTTTTTGGGAACTAATATTATCTAAGCATGTTTACACAGTGAACATCTCAGGAAGAAAAAAGATGAAGTGGAAGAAAGGCTATCACAAAAATACCATCCCTATGCAAAGCACAATACGTTTCCTGTTATTTTATTGCACTGCCTTTTTTTTGTCTCTCACAGAGCTACCAAGTAGGAAAGCAAGCCACTGGAGTCAGCTCTAACACTCACTGAAGCCATCAGAAAGACTCCCATGCAATTTGGAAGCTTTCAGATGATGGTGCTGAGTTAGAGAGGGTCAATATTTTAACCTGTACAGAACAATTCCCAATTTTGTGGGCTAATGGCTATCGGTATCTTCAGCATCCCAGCTTCAAGAATACATTACTCAGGGTTTTTCTTTGAAGAACAGTATATATGACAGAGCTGCATGTGTTCCAAGCAATAACAAGAAAAGTAGACTGTGTGCAGTAGAATCAGGACTAGAGCAAACATCTCCATCCTTTTAAAAAGAGGAATTAACACTCTTAATTCGATAGCTCTAGTGGGTTTATCATTAAATCCATTAGTAGATCTATCAATACATCTATCATTGTAGACCTTCAAAATATTGCAAGCCAGAATCCTCTATGCTTTATTTGTTTTGCTTTACAAGCAAAGCCTGGATTAAACTGATCCCTCACTTTTCTGAATTCATAGGAAGGTAGAAAAGTTGTTACCATTTTGCTAACGGAGTTACCGCCAACATTCTGTTATTCAGTCCCTCTTATCCATCCCCAAGTACAACTTCTACAGCAAAAACCACATTACTAAAATTTGAAATCACCTTTGGCCAAAACAAAGTTGATTTCTTGGCTTCTGGAAAATAACAACAATGAGGAAAATAAGACATTTTGGGGCATTTGAAATTTAATCTTCATCTACCTACATTTGCAGTCCTTCTGGTTTTTGGCAAGTTCAAAGCCAGGCCTACATTCACAGGCAACCCCACCTTTGGGCGTCTCCCGGCAGATGTGTGCACACCCATGATCTTTGTTCATACAGTTCATACCCTCTGTAAAAAAAAAAAAAAAAAAAGGAAAATATTAGTACTGAAATAAAATTACAAAATAATTAGACACATTCAGTCCTCCAGTAATTTTAATTGTAATTTTAATTTTGCATCTGGACTCTGTTCCACAAAGCAAAAGAACACAGCTGAAAAGAGGTATACAATCAACAAAACAGTGTAATAAATGACAAACCTCCTCTGGGGCAAATACAACAAGTACTACTGTAGAATATAGGGTGTTTCTGCTGCATGTAGAAACCCAGGACTTGTGATTTCCCCATTCCATATCCATATTCTAATCTTTCATGAAAATATCATGGATTTAAAGGATACTCCAGGAAGTTGTCTGTCCTGCAGGTGATTATCAGAGTTGAATAACTGAGCTCACTGTTATTTTTAGTTTGTATAAATGTAATGGTTGTTACTGCCTGGTGCGTTTTTATTTGCCTGTTAACGTGCTTTATATTTTCTAACACACAAAATCTACCAAAGATTATATCTGAGCATTTTTGCTTGGATCTGTTTCTTTGCTATTTGTTACACATCTCGGTTATCTGTGTCATCCACCATAAGCGCAGCCCACTGCCAACAAACCTACCACCACTCTTCTCTTTGACTACATTAAACAAAACATACCAGCTGTTCAAGAAACACCCAAGTGTCATGGGTGGTATTCCTGTTAATGTTTATGCCAAGGAGCAGTATCAACCAGTACTCTCTTTATCATCACAGGGCCAATTTTAGCTTTCTAAATCATGTAAGTGATTTAGACACTGAATGCGCTAGCTCTCAGAGGCTTTCATTACAGAGTTAATTCAAATCCCACATATTCACAGAAATCTTGAACTCAGTCCTTATGGGTTAGCATCTAGCATTCCTTGTGTGAATGAAGGCTAGCTCCATTTGCATTACAAAGCCTTCCCAGACTTCCCCTTGGATATCTGACCTGGAAAGGAGAGACAAATTCTCTCAGAGTACACTGACAAAGAATTCACAGCGTAACTCAGCTTACTACAGTGAAAACAGCATGTATTCCCCAAAACACTGGTGTATGCAACATCAGGGTGGACTCAACAGCTCACTTGTCACTTTGGAACATGGCTACTCCTACCTATTCTAGCTTAATTTCTCAAAATGGTGTAAAATGTTCAACTTAAACCCGCAGTGACAACGTACTTTAAATAAATGTTTCTTCAGAGCTGTTGCAAAATTTTTGTTTCCAAGGGGGAAAACGATCACTGTCCTCCCTTTTTATTCTTACAGAAAGTACATGAACGTACCCGCCACCTCTGGCATCTACACACACTGACTGCCTTTAGGCTGAGCCTGGTCCCGCACCATCAAATACTTGAAGCCAAGTGTCAAGGCTTTATGATGAATTTGAGAAGAAGTTTCTCTGCATACAGAATAGTTTTTCATTGAACACAAATTAGCATGTAAGACAGGTACTAAGAAACTTTGTGTACAAAATTCTGAGGAAATGCTATAGGAAGTCAGTCAGCGATTCCCTCAGGCTGACAGAAGCTAACGGCTTCAGAACTTACTTGCACTGCTTGACTTTAGCTCGGAAAGGCTTGTATTAGCAGAGCAATGAAAAACACACATCACCAGTCTGAGTGGGTATTTTTGTTCATCTCTCCGACATAAAATATCAGGAACTTAAATCTGACTGCCTATGAAAATCAACATTATAGACAACAGATAAATTTCTCTCTTCTAAATTCCCCTCTGTGTTGGCCTTGATGAGTCTAAAAACTTGCCAAAGCATAAAATAAATTATTCTCTGTAAACTGCAGCCTGGGCAACAGATGCTATTGAAGAAATAATACATACAATACACCATCCCATCCCATCCCATCCCATCCTGTCCCATCCCATCCCATCCTATCCTATACATCAAAGTGAGGTATAAATGTTTTGTTTGGCTGAACAGATGTAAGAAACCTGGGAATGGCCTTATTGAAGGTTTTGAGGCATTTTATAATCTCTTTCTCTCCACTTCTCCCAACAAAGGATTTCAGACACAATGTGTTTGACAAACTGCATTCCTGTGCACTATGCTATGTTCAGAAAAGGATCTGGGAAAGATAACATATGCCTGATTGAGTCACACTGCTGAGGCAATGAGAAGAGAGGAATTAGATAGATGAAAGAAGATATTTAATGGCCCAGAAGTGTAATGAAGCAAGTGATTTTCAGTGTTTACTTACAGATACTGAGTATCTGCCATTGTTGAAATCACTTGGGAAGACAGAAATTGTGCACTGCTAAAAACATCGGGAGAAATTGAAGATCAGAATTATTACCTTTTGAAACAAAAGTAGAAGACAAAGCAGAATTTTATGCTGTTATTTTTGTGTAAGACTACAATATTTCAGTTACTGTATTAATCATCTCAGTTACTGTATTCATCAGGTAGTTGGAGCTGTAGAAAAACTATTTCAGTTCAATGTTTAGCTGGAGAAGAACATGACACAAATCTCCTAAGCCTGAAAATGATTATTTCAGAAAATGTAAGTTTTTCTGGTGAAATGAAAGACCACTATTTTCAGTCAAGAGCAGGAACTCATCCACAACAAAACTTCTCATTTATATTTTAGTATTTTCAAAATCCCTAAAAATTAAATTACAAAAAAAATCCTAACCAGAATTTTGTTTAGGCCTGAAAAAATTATTCAAATAAAAAAGCAGCAAATAAATATTTTGGCTTGTTTAAAAAAATGTAATCTAAACCAAATTTGTGTTAATTTGAAAATAGTTTCAATCATTCCAAATTTTAATTTTTCAGGAAATGCAGTATTTGGCCAGATGTCTTCTGTATCAATCTACATACACAAATGATTTATGAATCGTTGTTGATACATAAGATTTACTTTTTTTGCAAGCTGACTCTTCAGTCAATACTGAACCTTTTATGATATAGCATATAAAGCACACTAAAACCCACAAAAATATGCTAAATACCTTCCTAATACTAGTTTAGTTGCTATACAAATGTATATAAATACGAGAGAAAATTACTCCTAAAACGACTTTGTTAGGTATTCTCTTTAGCAGGATGTGCTAGAGTCCAAACTCTAAACCGAAGTAAAAATACGTAAAACACCTCACACCTATTTTCCTACACTGGAACTGGATGGAGTGCACTGCTGCCAGTAAAATCACTGGTCTGCTGACTGCACACCACTCTGCTGTCACAGAAGTAGTGACATGTCTGAGTTATTATCTCCGCTCACTATCACCTCCTGACAAAAGTTTTGCCTTATTTTAGTTAATGTTTAGCAGCCACCTAATGTACACATGCTTTTTACATAAGGAGCCAAGTGTGTGAATAACAGCATGGGAGAAGTTCCCCTGATGTTAAAGGGGCACGTTTCCTAAGCGTCCCTGTGCCCGCCACGGCGTTCAGCCTCCCTTGGCCCCAGGACACAGGGTGACCCGAAGGGGAGGCAGGCAGCAAAAATGCTGCGTTCCCTCGGGGGTAACTGGCACAACCAAGGCCAAACAACTTGATTTGTAGAAATGAGTGGAAAACTAGTCATTCAAGTAAAAAAACATCATTGTGGAAAAAGTGCGTGGGATTCTCCTGCTCATTTAACTTTGTTTGAAGCTTTTCTCGTAATCACAATAAGCCCCAGCTCGGCAGAGGGGCCCCAGCACCGAGAGGAGTGCCCTGTGCTTCACGCCTTGCTCCTTCCTAGAGCTCACCAATGTAATGCAGAACCAGGGAAAAGAGGGAAAACACCTACGGAATTATCCTCGGCCTTTCCCAAGACGGTACAGAATTATGCCCACAGCAGTTGTACTTCAGTATGTTGCATGGCCTGGGCAAAATATCAGGCAATGGATCTTCCACCTGAGCCTTAACCATAACGTATTTGCAGAACTACATCTTTTACTACACAGCCGTGTGGCCACCCCTTCTCCCCCATCGTGTCCGCAACTGCATCACTCTGGTTTTGAACACAAGGAGTTGTTCCTAGCTGCTTCTCTTGATTTTTGCAGTGATCTGTGTGTCCCAGCTTCTAGAACTGATGTGACTATGGGTCAAATGAAAAAACATAGTTCCCAAATCAAGGGAAAGACTAAATGTTGATAAAAGAGAAGTCTGTACACCAAAAAAACCCTTACTTTATCGTCATGACACTAAAATGTCCAATGTTGAAAGGCTCTAGGTTTTTCATGTTTACTGTTAATAAAAGCAGTATCTTAATTCCATATGCTGCTACTCAAGGTAGTCTCTAAAGCCTAGCACGAAAATGGGTGCATGTTCTCTTCAGCAGTGCTGGCAGACAGTAAAAAAACCTTTTCAAACACAGACACGTTCTCAGCAAATTCACCATACAAAAAGACAGCAAAACAGAATCCAATGGAAAATATAAACAGGAAAAGAAATGCCACTTAAGAAAGGAAAACACCAATCTAAGTAAACTGAATCCTCTCTCAGCATTTTCGATATGACTTGAGAAACTCTCTCCTATTGCATTCCTGGATTTTCTCTGACTTTCAGTTATAAAAGATTGTTCATGGGAGAGTGGCAGACATTGTTGTATGACCTACAATCCACATTCATTTTTGTTCCTGGCCTAGGAGAGATTTGGGTGTGAGTCTACTACATTAATCCAGTCTGCCATCTAGTTATCACAAATCTCCTAAGAGTGCTGTTCTGCAAAATGTTCAGTCTGATACAATGACCTCTCCATTGTATTATGCTCTAAAAATGTTTTCAGCTCAATACCTCTGAAAGTGCTTAAATCAGGCTGACTGTGACAACTCAGGTACTGATCAGCCTTTATTTTTCATTAACACTGCCTGTTCTCATCTTAATTAAGACAAATTATTTTAGCAATTATTTTACTCTGTGGTTCACCATATATGCTTACATTATCCTCTATGTTGTCATAATTTCACTCACTCTGGTTTTATATCATTGCTGGTTTTTATAACTTTCAAATAAACACGCTGATTCCAAATGCAATCTGAAAAAGACTACTTTAAATTGC